CCTTCTGCCATGATTGAGGCCTCTGCTTCTTCCTGAGGCCTCACCAGGAGCAGATGCTGGTGCAGTGTTTTCCATACAGCCTGCAGAACTGTGAGCCAAATAAACCTCTTTCCTTTATAAATTACCCAGCCTCAGGTATTCCTTTATAGCAATGCAAACAGACTTAACACACGTATTGTTGAGACCTAATGCTCAGGAAAAAAAAGATTCCTTTCAAAGTATTACTGCTCATTGACAATGCACCCGGTTACCCAAGAGCTTGATGGAGAGGTACAAGGAGATTAATGTTGCTTTCATGCCTGCTAATACAACGTCCATTCTGCAGCCCATGGGTCAAAGAGTAATTTTGACTTTCAAGTCTTATTATTTAAGAAATACATTTCATAAGGCTATAGTTGCATAGATAGTGATTCCTCTGATTCATCTGGGCAAAGTAAATTGAAAACCTTCTGGGAAGAATTCACCATTTTATTTTATTTTTTTGGATTTAAAAATTTGTAGTCCCTTTATTTTAGGTCTTTAAAAACACTTTTAAATTTCACACAGCAAATTTTAAATCATATAAGGAAGCATATCTGAACTTAGTGAATTTAATCTGTGTTCTTTGAAAACTTTTTTTTTCCCTGCAAACTTTTAAAATGAGAGTACAGTAGTAAATTACTTAAAATTAAACTGGGGAAAAGCACATGCACACTTTTCTCCGTTGTTTACTGCTCTGATCTAGACCTTAATTAAATTTCTAAAATATGTAATAGCTTTTATCAACTTAAATTCTATTACCAAATATAATGGTTAGTGTTATAGAAAGTTATTCTCCAAATACCCAAAGCTTTACATTTACTTAATATCTGAGAAAATATCACCTACCAATCAATAACAATTAACTAAAGAATGATCAAATTTCTAGTCTCCTTTACAGGGCCTAATAACTCAACCAGGCCTTAAGGCCTATGCTAATTTAAATGTCCTATTATTGACTGAGACAAACCCCCAAGAATTATATTCAGAATTTACAAATATATTCTTAGCAATGTATCTATTACAGGCTTAAGTGCAGTCTTTTAGAATTAAAAATCCAAATTTAATATGTATATTTACCTCCTGGGGTCTTTCAAGTCCATATTATTTAGGCTTATATAGATAATTATGGTAACCATTTTTAGGTTTGTAATTGTTTGATACCTGGATGATAAAGGCAGAAATGTAATTCTCAAGTCCTTGAAATTAATGTAATTAAAAGCTTAGCTGACTACAGAATAGGTGAGGGTTTCTTAAAAATCGGATTTGTTGGCTGGGCATGGTGGCTCACGCCTGTAATCCCAGCACTTTGGGAGGCTGATGCAGGCAGATCACCTGACGTCAGGAGTTCGAGACTAACCTGACCAACATTGTGAAACCCCCATCTCTACTAAAACTGCAAAACTTAGCAGGGCGTGGTAGTGGTCACCTGTAATCCTAACTCCTGGGGAGAGTGAGGCAGAATTGCTTGAACCTGAGAGGCGGAGTTTGCAGTGAGCTGAGATGGCGCTGCTATACTCCAGCCTGGGCGACAGAGCGAGACTCCATCTCAAAAAAAAAAAATCAGATTTGTTTTAAGACACAGTTTTCTCATTACTGGTAGGATCGGTTGGTCACACAAGATATTTAATAGTATTTAACATAACCTGGCACAGAAAATTGGTTTAAAAAAAGTTTTTTTTAATTAGGTAATGTAAAAACCCAACATGAACTTTATGCAAGATTGGAATGTATCTTCAAATTCAGGCTTTTAATAAAATCGTAGGCCGGGCGCAGTGGCTCATGCCTGTAATCCCAACACTTTGGGAGGCTGAGGTGGGTAGATCAGCTGAGGTCAGGAGTTCAAGACCAGCCTGGCCAACATGGTGAAACCCCATCTCTACTAAAAATACTAAAAATTAGCCGGGCGTCGTGGTGGGTGCCTGTAATCCCATCTACTCAGGAGGCTGAGGCAGGAGAATCGCTTGAACCGGTAGGTGGAGGTTGCAGTGAGCCGAGATCACGCCATTGCACTCCAGCCTGGGCAACGAGCAAAACTGTCTTTAAAAAAAAAAAAAAAAAAGTAAACATGCTGTGTATATAAATGATGTATTTAGTTCCTTGTGTCCAAGAATGTTATCTATAAAATGGAAAGCAATAAGAACAGTGAATGATAATTTAATTTGCAATTCTAAAAACATGACTTGAGAAAAAAAATCCCATAAAACTTGGTTCAAAGTTTAACTGCTTATGTTTAATATAAATCAGAGTGTTTAAATTCACAATACAAGTTCTATCAATCTTGGCATTTTTATATTATTTGTATGAATATTATCAATTTTATTGATATTATTAGCAAATACTACTTTCAGTGTACAGATGCACCTTATTTTCTAGTTATTGTTTTTTTTTTTTTTTTGGGGGGGGATGGAGTCTTGCTCTTATTGCCCAGGCTGGAGTGTAATGGCGCGATCTTTGCTCACTGCAGCCTCTGCCTCCTGAGTAGCTGGGATTACAGGCACCCACCACCACACTCAACTAATTTTGTATTTTTAGTAGAGACAGGGTTTCACCATGTTGGCCAGGCTGGTGTCAAACTCCTGACCTCAGGTGATCTGCCTGCCTTGGCCTCCCAAAGTGCTGGGATTACAGGCGCGAGCCACCGTGCCCAGCCAAGTTATTGTTAAATAGTAGATAAGGTAGATTGTTCCCTGAAGTGCTAAGTTATCATCCAGTGGGTTATTTGCCATTGTTCCTTTTCTGCCTTTTCTTGTTGGCAAAACATATCCTGTGCTGCTTGGTGCATTTTCTCTAGTTTTACCAGAGTCAGAGATTTTAAGGGTAAAAGTTTGAGTTTACATACCACCACTGTGGTTACATCTTCCAGAGACGACTACCTTTGTTTTGGAAGATATTCCTGGAACATTGACTTTACTTCCACCATATCTGAATTGCTAGATACAGTAAGTTTTTTCCTGAAAGTTCTGGTCTTTTTTCTGCAACTTTGGACATCCAGCCCGTTATTACCAAGATGACCGAGAGTTCTCGACTCAAGCCTACAGAAGAAAAGATGCATCCCTTCGCAGGTGTCTCAGCTGCTGCTGTAGGTCATAGTCAGGATTTGCCATCTTAGATGCCTGAGGCACGTTTGTGATTTTTGGAAGGTCAAAATACCAACATTAGTAGGAGTTTGGAAGAAGTTGATTCTTATCCTCACAGATGACTTTGAGGGCTTCAGAGGTTCAAGGCTTCAGTGGAGGGAGTCACTGCAGATGTGATGGAAACAGCAAGAGAACTGGAATTAGAAGTGGAGCCTGAAGATGGGACTGAATTGCTGCACTCTCATTAAACTTGAATGAATGAGGAGTTGCTCCTTATTGATGAGCAAAGAAAGTGGCTTCTTGAGAGGGAAACTTCTCCTGGTGAAGAGGCTGTTGAAACATTGTTGAACGCTTCAAACATTGCTAAAATAACAGCAAAGGATTTAGAATATTTAATAAACCTTCGTTCATAAAGCAGCAGTTTGAGAGAATTGACTCCAAATTTGAAAGAAGTTTTACTGTGGGCAAAATGCTATCAACAGCATCTTCATGAAAGGGAGAGTCAATCATGCAAGAAACTTCATTGTTGTCTTATGTTGAGAAATTGTCACAGCCACCCCAACTTTCAGCAACCAGCACACTGATGAGTCAGCAGCCATCAACATTGAGGCAAGGCCCTCCACCAGCAAGAAGATTACAACTGCTAAAGGCTCAGATAATCATGAACATTTTTTTTAAGCCATAAAGTATTCTCTAGGTAAGGCATGTACTACTTAAAAGACATAATGCTTTCCCACACTTAATAGACTACGGCGTGCCGTGAACATAATTTTTATATGCATTGGGAAATTTAAAAACCTGTGAGTGACTCACTTGTGATATTTGCTTTATTGTGGTGGTCTAGAACCAAACCCACAACATCTCCAAAGTATGCCTCTCCTTAATCTCAATGTCCCCCACGACACTCTGTGAAAACTGTGTTCTTCAAGCTTGTTCCTCTGTGATTGTCACCACTGTTCTCGAAGAGAGAACATTTTACTCTTCCCATGCAGTATTTGGAACAAAATGCCTTAAAGGCCAGCACAGGACATTGTCATGGCTGTATGTCTACTTATAAGAGAGGAGGATTCATTATTTTAATAGACAGCTGGTTGTTTAGCTTTAGCAAGGTGCGTTTCGTGTAAGAACTGAAGTCGTAAACACTCTGCCAGCCACAAAACACCTTCCTCCCATAGCCACTGGCTGTATCTCCAACACCACACAAATACATGGTCAGAGGCCACCAGAAACAGGAGGAGAGAGGAGATGGAGGATTCATAATTATGCGATTGCACACTTAATAGACTACAGTATAGTGTCAATATAACTTTGGTTTTTTTTTTTTTTTTTTTTTTTTTTTTGAGATAGTCTCACTCTGTCGCCCAGGCTGGAGTGCAGCGGCACTCGATCTCCGCTCTCTGCAACTTCTGCCTCCCGGATTCAAGAAATTCTCTGCCTCAGCCTCCCGAGTAGCTGAGATTACAGGTGCACGCCACCACACCTGGCTAATTTTTGTATTTTTAGTAGAGACGGG